AAAAAAACTTACAAATATCGACCAAAAAAAAAAAGGAAAAAAAAAAAAAAAAAACAATCTTTTATCCTTCCAGCAGAAAATTCATCCGGTTAAAAAACTTTTTCTCGCGAAGAATTTCTCGATTTCGTTCTCGTTCCTCGAAACTATCGCACTGTAAATAGACAAAGGTGAAGTGGTAACAATAAAGTGTCGTTCGTCAACAAGCGAGTAACTTTCTCGAAAGGGAATCAAACTGAAAGTAATAGGGGGAGCTAGAACAAGTGAGAAGCGAGAAGGAAAAAAGAATAAACGCAACGTTTGCCAGGTTGTTACGGAATTTGCTTTTAGCCAAGGTTTCGGTACCAATGTGGTGTAAGGCGGTGGGTCGAGGCTGAGGTTGAAACGAGAGGAAACCGAGTATTTGGTAAGATGGCGAGAGAGTTTGGGGGAGGGGAGTGGGGAGGAGAGCAGAGGAAACCATCTTCTCGTAGCTTTAGTCCACGGACAATTCGCTTCGTTTAACCAGACTCGGGCTATTGGACGATGGCCAACCGGTATCACACAGATGTTTGCTGCTCTTTTGTACGTCAGTTATGAGTCTTTCAAATTGCATCAAACCTGTACAATGGGCCGGCGGCCCATCCTTTCCCCTCCCCCTCTTTTTCCTTCCATCCTACTTATCCCCCACTCCCTTTGTCGATTTCTACTTTTGGTCTAAAGATACCCGAGGATAAACGTCGAGAAAACCGCTCTTTCTTTCTTTCTTTCTTTTTCCTCCTCCTTCCTTTTTCGATATCGATACACGCTTTTCCGCCACTTCTCGGCATCGTTGAAAAGGAGATCAGCCACAGGCTACCGTTTGCCCCTATAAACTTTTTCCAACCATTTTGAAACGGGTATTTCTAGGCGAAATTTATTCGAAGCAAGATGGCCGTTAAATGTTATTCGATTTGAAAGAAATCTTCATAAAAACTTAAATTTTCCGTAAACGGAATTTATCCGGAATTTTTAATAATTATACGTCTGATATTAATTTTCACTTGAAACGTTTTTGAAACGGTATACCAACAGCTTCAGTTTACGGCCAAATAGTTGGCCAAAGGAGGGAACAAAGGATAATCCATTATATCTCGCCTCTAGCGCTCGCCTAGAAAATAATTCCTACTCGTTACACGGCACGACGCTCGTTTTTCATCGTGCCGTTACAAGTCGTGGCATAAAGGGGGCCCCGTGGCTTTACCAGATCTAACCCACCCCGACGCACCTCGAACACCAGGAAGTAGTTAGAGGGCTTCGTGATGGTATATCAGAGCTTCCTAAGCGGAAGCAATTTTCCAACCTCCTCCTTTTCCTTCCCCCTCCCCCTCGTTCGATTACCTTCGATCGATCAAAATTTTCTTTTTCATCCCACAAAGAAGAAGTTTTGTTGCCGCGGACAAGCGCGAGCGTCACGTGATCGAATACCAATCCTCTTCTGTAAATGCTCGCGCGTTTTTTTTTCAGAATGGAAACTAAATTTTTCGAATCTTCGATCGATTCGAAAATTAATTCGAATCAATCGTTCAAATGATATGTATTATATTAATTAAAATTAATTTTCAAATGTATGAAAAATAATTGTTTCGGTGTAATTTTTAAAAAACTATACGTTGAAATTTTAAATTTTGTTTTTAAAAAAAGTAGACAGAGAACTAATTGGAAAACTGATCGGTCATATTTCAATGGAGTTGAGAAATATTCTATAAATTTTATAATGGATAGCATCTCTAAATATCTATTTTAATTTAAAATGTTATAAATTATCGATAAGTTTTTTTTTGTAAATTAAATTTAAAGTTAAGTAATTACTTCGTATTAGAAATTCGTACAATGTAATGATTCGTCGATGATTTTTTTATACTAGAATCGAATATATGAAAAGTTAAGATTTTCCACTTTTTTTTACCGCCATATTTCGATTCGCAAAATTTTATAAAATTATATTAAAATTAATTTGCCAGCTGGCGGATTTTTTAATCTAATTCTAATTCTATATATATAACCGGTAAAAAATAATTATATTCAATTCCTTCTATTATTCCATCAACTATTGTGTGCATCCTCCTATTAATCGTAAGATATTAAATTTAATCAAAACAAAATTTGAAATATTTGGATTGAAAGATAAAAGAATATAAATTTCTTGTTCCGCGATTATCGAGAAAATATCCCCTCATAAAATTGCAATATCGTAATTTATCGAGATACGATTGTTCATCAATTATAATTATCAATTTGTAAATAAAATGAATATAAACTCAGATACCATAGTACATCGATTCGTTTCACCACGCTCAAAATATTAGAAAAATATTGGAAAACGGAATCGCGTAGAATTTCGTATACCGCGAGGAAACAGAATTCGCCATTCAGAGTGTGCACCGTTTTGGCGACATTCTTCGATTCGTTTCGAAGCGTGAGATATCCTGCCGCGACGGATGTCGAAATCAATCGAACTTTCCCGAAGCGGTCGCACAATATTTCGGAAAGCGGAGCATGAAAAAGCGCGACGATTCTATCTTCGATCTTTTGCATCTTTTTCCACGATCGATCCTCCCCTTCTCTTTCTCTTCGTTTTCTCCCGTGCTAAAACACGAGATTTTACATCTCACTCAGTACATGTACGCGAATTCTTTCGTTGCACGCGTGGTGTCGCATTCGGCGAGAGAGGGAAGAGGAGTGGGGAGTTCCTCGCTTCTCGACGATCCGATTCCGAAGTTTCGCTTTTTAGCCGAGGTTTTCTTGAGTCGAGACCCGTGTTTCGCGCCAGCCGCTTTTTGCTTCGCCCAGAAGAGAACATTCAATCGCGGGGAGAGGGGGAATTTTCGAGGATTATCGCGAGAGAAGTGTTACTCGCGGGAGAATAGTAATATTGCTTTTTGGTCGAAAACTGAATTCTGATTCCGTGCACTGTGAAATGTTGTAACCGTTCTAACGGATGTGCGCGGGGAATTAATTTCGGGGATTAAAAGAAATTGTGAACGCAGCTTGAGAGAGTCTAAATAAGCGTGTCGAATGAAATATCGTTAATAACGTATAAACTTAACCGATAAAGAAGTTTAAGCAAACGGAATATGGTAGATTACTATGTTACCTGTAACAATGAAATAAAAAACTTTTCAAAATAACCAATTGCGCCGTTACAATTGTCGTTATGGATCGGAGAAAAATATTTAGAATAAAGTGTGCGAGGCAAAAAGCAGAAACCAGATACGATGGAACAAGGTTATATGCTATGCAAGTTTATATGTGTAATTAAGAAACATGTGTAATATTATATGTGTAATATTATATGTGTAAAAGTGTCACTCGTATTTCGTATGTTTACATGTGAATTAAAGTGGATCAGTTCCAGAGTTGGAAATTAGACCGTTGAAAAAGTAACTAAAATTTAAAAATTTTGAATACAATTATACCAATTACTTATTAACATTTTATTACAATTTATTACGCTTTTTACACAATCACGACCATTAAAATTATTTCCGATTATTATTACATATTTTGAACGATAAATCATCGAAGTAACATATCAAAGTAACTTTATTCGTAACTTCAATTTTCCCCATCATTGATCCGTTCCCCTTTTTGAACCGCCACTACGTGCAACGTGACGTAGCGATCTCAATGTAGCAGAACAAAGGCATGATTCACATATATATAACACAATTTATTCCTTTCTCCTTTATTAAATATATTCCTTCCTGTATACATTCTTTTTTTTAATCGAATCATTTCTATTCCCCAAATAATATCTCTATCTCTTTCCAATGCAAATTTAAATCGCCTATAATACGATAAATAATCTTCAACCGCCACGGATGAATGAAACGTACCAATTTTCGCATTTGTTTTAACTTCTAGACACTTCGAGTCGAATACTTTTCGTTTTAAAAGAAATTTTAGAACGCGAATAGATATATCGATCCGATATAGAGCCTACGAGTCGAAGGCGCGTGGCAAGCAAGCGAAAAGAAATTGTACAAAGGCGGATCTAATAGGTTGCGGTTGCTATCCGTTTCATCGGTTTACCCGAAAAACGATGTAAAAGTATCGCTCACGCAAGCTTCATTAGCATTTAGAGTGGCGAGGGATTTATTCTCGGGGCCGCGAGTGCTGTGGATCGCGACACGGTATGCATAGGATTATCTTCGAGCACCTGGACAATAGTAAGCTAATCCATTTACAAAGAAAACGAGCTACTTCCGCCTTTTTATCCCTTCCATTCCCTCTCTCCCTCCCTTCCTTTCTCCCTTCTCCTTTCTCTCTCTCTCCACGTTTTCTTTCACAATCCCCTCTCTTTTCATTCCTTTTCTTTTCATTTTTATATCGCGTGTTAGAATCGCATAGTGTAATGAGAAAATGTTACGTTGAACCGTATCGCTTCGAACAAAATTTCTCGAAATTTTATGCTTTTGTAATCGAAATATTAATATACCGGGATGAATATAAATTGATCGATGTATAAATGCTCATTAATCGTGAATAATTTTTTAACTATTTAAAAAGAGCTTAACAAGAAAAATTCTGATTTATTTTTCATTTCTTTGTATTACCGTAGCATGTAACATTACAAACATTATTAATTTAAACTTTTCGATATTTCTTCGACTAACTTTAATTATTCTAGAAAATGCACAAATATTTACAAATAATTTATATACAATACACATGATAAAATAAAATAATACAAAAATCAATCTGTAATTTAACGATTATAACGAAGAAAAAACAAGAATAATAATATGAAATAATTTAATTGGAATAAAATAATTTAATACTATTTTGGAAATAAAACAAAAATAAATAATAGAAATAAATCATGAAATCAAAAATTGAATTCAAAAAAAAAAAAGAAATTCACGATTCCATTTCCAATATTATATT